CTTTATCAGTTTGGTCGTCTTTGCAATCAACGGCCCCACTATCTCTTTAAAAAGATTTGACCTTTTCTCGCGGACTCTCGTATATCTTAATTCTACTTTGAACCCGGTGATTTACTGCTGGAAGATGAGACACATTCCGCACGCTATCATGGACATACTGCGGAACATGTCATGGTTAAGAAATCGCGGAACACAGTAATCTTAAGACCAGTCACTTGCAGTGTTGTTATTGTCGAATCCTGTAATTTACTGCTTTAACCATCAACAGCTGTGAAAAACCATCCAAAGAACTGCTGTAACATGTTCTCCCTTTTGATTGTTTGGTTTATGGTTAGAGAGGATTTTTGTAATTTGTTGTAGTTTTTCATAGTTTGTCTTATGAGATGTTTGTGAAATTTTTGCTATAGATAGCGGCACTCCTAACCTTGTAATTATGCAGTTGGTAACAATGTGAATAAACATCGGAATAGTCTATTCTAACTTGATATTAGAGTTGCTTTGGATGTTAATCGTATTTTAATNGGACTCTCGTATATCTTAATTCTACTTTGAACCCGGTGATTTACTGCTGGAAGATGAGACACATTCCGCACGCTATCATGGACATACTGCGGAACATGTCATGGTTAAGAAATCGCGGAACACAGTAATCTTAAGACCAGTCACTTGCAGTGTTGTTATTGTTGAATCCTGTAATTTACTGCTTTAACCATCAACCGCTGTGAAAAACCATCCAAAGAACTGCTGTAACATGTTCTCCCTTTTAATTGTTTGGTTTATGGTTAGAGAGCATTTTTGTAATTTGTTGTAGTTTTTCATAGTTTGTCTTAGGAGATGTTTGTGAAATTTTCCTATAGATAGCGGCACTCCTAACCTTGTAATTATGCAGTTGGTAACAATGTGAATAAACATCGGAATAGTCTATTCTAACTTGATATTAGAGTTGCTTTGGATGTTAATCGTATTTTAATTACTCGAAAAGTTGTTCTTCCCCGGGCTATGCTTTGTGTTGTATATAATTGTGTCTGGATTGTGGCTTTATAGTTAGTGGAAGTTTCACTTCACTTTTTGATGTGGTATTGATTCTCTTGAACAACGT